AGAGCTGGGCAGAGAAGAACCTAATGAGGTTACAAGGGCAAATGTAAGGTCCTGCACCTGGGGAGGAAGAACCCCAGGCACCAATATAGGTTGGGGTGGATCTACTGGGAAGTACTACAGAGGAAAAGGATCTGGGAGCCCTGGTGGATGGTAGGATCGCCATGAGCCAGCAATGTGCCCTTGTCGACAAGCGGGCCAATGGAATCCTGGGCTGCACAGGGAGAAGTGTGGCCAGCAGGTCGAGGGAGGTCATTCTCCCCCTCTACTCTGCACTGGTGAGGCCACAACTGGAATACTGCATCCAGTTCTGGGCTCCCCAGTTCAAGAGAGACAGGGAACTACTGGAGAGAGTCCAGGGTAGGGCAACTGAGATGATTAAGGGATTAGAGCACCTCCCTTACGAGAAAAGGTTCAAAGAGCTGGGACTCTTTAGCCTGGAGAAGAGAAGGCTGAGGGGAGACCTCATCTATGTTTACAAGTTCCTAAAGGGTAGGTTGAAGGATGATGAAGCCGGACTCTTTTTAGTGGTTTCCAGCGAGAGGACAACGGGCAACGGGCACAAGCTGGAACACAGGAAGTTCCACTCAAAAATGAGGAAGAACTTCTTTACGGTGAGGGTGACAGAGCCCTGGGACAGGCTGCCCAGGGAGGTTGTGGAGTCCCCTTCTCTGCAGATCTTCAAGACCCACGTGGATGCAGTCCTGAGTAATGAGCTCTGGGCAATCCTGCTTTAGCAGGGGAGTTGGACTACATGATCTCTAGAGGTCCCTTCCAGCTCTGTCAAATTTGTGAATTATTAACTGTGACTGACCACTTCCTGATAAGAACATCATAACACTGTCTTAAAAAAAAAATCCAACACAAAAAAACTAAACCAAAAAACAAGAACAAACCCACCCCTACCCCCTCAATTTCTCAACTATTTATTTTATACTGCTTCACCAAAAAGAAGTTTCAGAGCAGGCTCCTTCCACTAGAGATACTTCTCAGTCCACATTCTAATGACTTTGAAAGCATGTGACTTTTTACCACTGCTGTTCAGCTTCTCCAGACACGGGGAGACAATACCCTCTCTTTAACAACTTCAGAGGACAAAGGAACCAAAGGAACTGTATACTCCAGTGGTAAGAGATCACTGAAATGCAGGCAATTTCATCAAATGCACAGTGCTTCTTCATTTGAGTCACAAGATTTTTATATCTTGCCTAATCCATGAAGTTCAATGGCAGCAGTTAATACTAACAGTATCTGATCAATCAGATGAACTTTAAGAGGAAACCATCCAATGGCATTTCACTCCTTTGTGCAAAGAACATATTTTGGCAACTAAGGGGTGTGATTTAAAGATTCCGCAAGGAGGAAGAGAAAGAAGTGTGTTTACTTAGTGGCCTCTGCAATTTTGCATGTCATTTGTTTTTGTGCTGAGGTAGCAAGTGCTTGAATAAGCCTTATAATAAGATGAAAGCTTCAAAAGTTTTTGCCTTCCAATAACAACCACATGTTTCCCTTTGAAAGCCTGGAACACGATAAAATAAAAAGCTCAGCTAATTTTTACTGATGCTGTCAGTTTGTCTTTCTGAAATATTTTAATGTTGCCTATTTTTTGAGATACTGTTTGGCAGCCTAGATTCTAGGAAAGGTACAGTAGGATTAGCTAACCTTTGTTTATTCAAACACCTATACAAGTGCATTCACAGAAGAGCCCATGGCCAAGTATCCACTGGGTAAAGTCTCCACTCACTGATTAAAGTCTCCACTCTCTTAAGACTCAGCAACTGACAAGACACGTGAGGATTTCTTCAACCCAGCTTGTTTGGAACTAGTCCCACACCTAGACCTACGCAGGGAACTCAGTCCCATACCTGCAGGGCAATTGCCTCTCCAAAACATGTCTCTCAGTGGTTATCCCCCTTAGGTCTTAGGCCTCTGGGTTGAAAATACCATGCTCTGGTCAGATAGGACTTCTTGTTTACAACAACCCAGAAGCCATACATCCTTGTCAACCCAGTACGAACTATAGCTCATACTTGTGAGCTATGGCTTAATCTGGAGGTCCACAGTGAAAGACCAAGACTTTCTGCTGGTTCAAAATTGTTTTCAAATCACCTGTTAGTTTTGCCAAGGCTACATTAAACAACTATGAGAAGAGATGGAAAGCAATCTGCAGCTGGGGCAGGGGTTTGTATCAACAGAACAAGCATAGGTACTTAGAAATCAGGGATTAAAGATGCAGTGAGTTTAGAAGTGAATTTAAAATCACAGAAGCTCTATGCCACACACCTGAACCTTTATTTCTTTAAGTAGCAGTTAGAAAAAAAAAATCCCTAAAAGCCTTACAGGCTCTCCCTGGCACACATTTAATCAACACACACAGTTCTCCAGGCTCTTACACTCTGCTTCACTGAGCCATCTACATGTATTTCCTAGAAGTCAGTTTGCTTATCTGTACTAGAGAGATACAACTTCAAAGACAACTTTGCTCCCGGGGGTAACAGAATGTCTAGACCATAAAAAACAAAAACATCATTAAGATACTTAACTCCAGAAGCTTCAGGCAGGTTCTAAACCATGACCAAGACACTACATAACATAATGACTCATTAAAACAAGTTCCCATTTCTTTATCAAGTCAGTTCTAATCTTCTAATTAATATCATTAATCAATCACACTGCACTTATTTTGCAATTTGCTAGCATTCTGTAGAATGCAAAATGCATTTGAAGCAGCAAAACAGAATCTTATTTTGGACTTTTCTGAAGCAAGTATTTATGAATATTTGCTCGAACATAATGATGTCACTGTGTACTGCTCTACTGGACATTACTCTCCACTCATAGTATCTAGCAATTTGTAGAAACAAACAATTACAGGTATAAAAAACTAAAACCCTACAATTCACTACAGTTGTGTATCATGTTTGACCAACTCTACAGATAAAGTACTGTGTCCAGTTCTGGGTTCCCCAGTAGCACGTTTGACCAACTCTACAGATAAAGTACTGCGTCCAGTTGTGGGTTCCCCAGTATAATATATATTTACCAGACAGAATCCAGTGAAGCACCACTGAGATGACTAAGAGACTGAATTATGCCCTATGAGAAAAGGCTGAGAGAGCCGGGACTAATCACCCCAGAGAAGAGAAGGCCCAGGGGGGATCTCAACAATGTATGTAAACACCTGGAGGGAAGGTGCACAGGGGACGCCCTATGAGAAAAGGCTAAGAGAGCCAGGACTAATCACCCTGGAGAAGACAAGGCTCAGGGGGGATCTCAACAATGTATGTGAACACCTGGAGGGAAGGTGCACAGAGGACAGAGACAGGCTCATTTCAGCAGTGCCCAGTGACGGGACCAGAGGCCATGGGCACAAACTGAAACACAGGAAGCTCCCTCTGAACATCAGGAAACACTTTTTCACCGTGAGGGTGCCCAGAGAGGCTGTGGAGTCTGCATCCTTGTCTGTTTTAGGCAACCAGCTGTAGGTGGCCCTGCTTTAGTAGGGTGGTTGGACCAGATGACCTCCAGAGGACCCTTCCAACCACAACCGGTCTGTGGATTTATATAGAAATATAATATACCTTTTGTATTTTTATATATATATATATAAAATAATATAAAGTCTTAATATACACTGCTTTAACACACACAAACATATAAGCGAAGTTAGATACCAATACAAAAACTAAAACCACGGATAAATTAATTCATGACTGAATAATATGACTTAAATATAGTGCAACTACTTTGATGACTATAAATTAACCATGGAAGAGCACATTTGCTGATATATTGAGATTTAAAGTAACGAAACGTACAAATGCCTTAAAATGGCCATATTGTATAAGCATGGACCAGAGGAGTGCTGGAAAAAAAGGCTTCCCTTCTCTGGTGAAGTACACAAGGAAATCATACTGTATCACTGATGCTCTGCTGGGGGATTAGGGAAAGCTGCTCTGTAGGGGGAATAAGGAAAGCTGCTCCATTCTGACGCTGAAAATAGTATGAAGACATTCACTTAGTTGTATTAGCAATGTTAATCCAAAAACGCTGTTTTAAAGAAACCTCAGTGCTTGCCAAACTCTGGTAAACAAAGCCATTATGTTAGCATTTGCTCTGTCATCAGATGCAGGCATCTCTGAGGCAAGACATCAGTCTGCTTAGCATAACACAGAACAGTAGTACAAGATCAAAAAAAAAAGTGACTTGTAGAACAGAAAATAAAGATGACAAAAAAAAAAAAAATCATGTATGTTAATGTTAGTCTGACCCCTCTTATAGTATTTAACAATGAGAAATCTAGAAAATAGAAACTTTCAGCAATGACTGTGCTTGGCATCTCACCAGGATGCTTAGTTCAAAGCAGATTCAAAAAAACTCAATTTTTATTGGCAGTCTTCTTGATAAGAACCGATTAAATGAAAGTTTCTTACAATAGGGCTATTAAGTATTCAACCACACAGCTAGTTATCTTCGACTAAATCCCCAAGAATTGTATATCCCTATAAACTGCTGCTTTTATGATTACATAGTAAAGATTAATAGAGCAGTACACAATGACATCACCATGCTAGAGCAAATATTCATGAACATCCAGAGGAAAAGGGAATAAATTGGAAACAAGATTCTATTTTTCTGTCTTTGAAAGAGAAGGTATGTAGTGAAAAATAAGTTATTTTAGATTTTTAAGACGAAGTTTGTCAAATTAAATTTTTAAAAAAAACAATCCATTTTTAAATAATCAAGACTGTAAGAGCCTTGATCCCTAGCATTCCAATCACCCTACTAGCAACTTTCATATTAAACACTTGGTAGATTATATACTAAAGCATTTCTGAAAGTTTAACTTGAAATAAGCTCAGTATTTTTCCACAGCTTAGAAAGACAGAATGAAAACTTTGTCTTCAGAAATAAAAGTCAGAGTGGAAAAAACCCACTACTGTTCGTATATTCTTTGAAAATGCAGTGGTAAATTCAGAAATCAAGCTCCTCTGACTTCTTACCTTATCACCTTTTTTCCCAGATTTCTTCTTAGGATTATCCTTCCAAAGAGATTCTACAGCAATATATCCCTGAAGACTCCAGTCATACACCTGCGTACCAGCAACCTTTGAAATAAAAGATATTAGACAGCATGAACTTAATAATCTTTGAGATATTATTTTGCTTCTTGTTTTAAGTGGACAAAGTCTCAAAACACAAGAACTTTGACATCTTCCTGTTCAAGCTCATGTGTACAGCATTAATAAATATCTTGGGAAACAAAAATGAGACATGCTCTTGTAGCACTTCCCCTTGAGCCCCATGGAAATTTTTAGCATCCACAACGTCCTGTGCCAAGGAGCTACACCACTGGGCACACTCAATTCAAACAGGACAGGTACAGAGAGTTATCTTTTTCAGTATCAGGTGTGTTCATTTTCAAGTACTTCAATAAACTAGTTCTGAAAGTCAGAGGAGCCTACAGCTGAAAAGATAGTGTCATCACTTGTGCAAGCAGTACAGACCTACCAGGACTGAAAAATAACCACGATCAATGAACAATCAAGGGTTTTGGGTTTTTTTGTCTGCAATGTTACTGAGAACACAGCTAACAACAAAAAATGAGAAACAGCAACTATGCATAAGCCATTTCTTGTTCCTGCTTAAAAATACCCCATTAAAATACTTTAAAACACTCTAAATACCTAAGAGTACAAACTTAAAAATATTCTTATAGGAGTGATACCATCAAGTGAATTATGAATTGAGCTAAATGAGAAACTGGTCATTCACATGGCTGAAGGAAAGTAACTACATCACAAGGTACAGCAACCTGGATAGTTTATGTCTGTCAGACTCAACCAATGTTTCAACACTATAAATACTTCCCAAGAGCTGAGACCCACACACACATTCACAATTCCCATGGCTTGAAAAATATAAGTCTAGATAGACTGTAAGCTACAAGTTACAGGGTCAACAGGAACATAGCCAAGAAATTCTCATAACCACCCAAAGCATCCTCTCATGAAGACAACAGCAGAGTCACGTGTTAGGCTTGTGCTTTATACCTCCCTCTCTCACGGAGCAGTTGAAGAGGAAGCAGGTGAGTACTACAGGTGCCACCACTATTCTTGGGAGTGGCCGTTCCAGCCAGGAATAGCAAAAGGAACAATCATCATACAAACAGTTCATTCAATTATTTCAAGTGTTCATTCCAACGTTCACACAAAGAGTTCCTTTCAAAGGAGGACGAGTTTTTCCATTCAGTCATGTGGAATTCTTAATTTCCGGGAGATAACACTTTCCAGCTTGTTTGTGTTAAATTACAACATGCTAAAATACCATCTCTGTTCAACAGAACACTGTAGGTTTGTATGCTAAAATTTGAACAAACAAGTTGAAAAGTCAGACTGAATAGTTCTCAACAGGGACTCTGAAATAGCTCAAAAGTGACCTTGGGCCACAAACACCTGTGCTAGCGCTAATGAGGTAGCATCATCAGCCTCTAGGGCCTAATGTGCATGTAAACAAACTCCCATATTTTAATTCCACATAAGACGATAAAAATATAATATTGACTATGCCACATATGTGAAGATTATCAAGCAGAAGTATGGTTAGCAAATCTTTATCTATATTGCATGCTGAGAAACTAAGCCAAGAATCTTCTGGCTTTTCTACATTTATATTGTTAACAAAAGTAGTTATAGTGCAATTTCACAAGCATTTCACTCTGCAGCAAACATGGATCAAGTGACCTCAACTCCTTCCTTTCTATCCACAGTTCCTCTAATCGTGTCATGCTCTCAGTTGTGACAGTACAACTGTTCATGCTTTATGGATTGAGCTGGGCAAGGGACAAGGTACAGTTTCAAAAGACACAGAAATTAGTTTGTTGACAAAGAAACAAATTTATATACTAAGAAGCTTTTCTTTCTTTCAAGAAGGTAAGCATAACACACAATACTTCAGGAAATTTGAGAAGCTCTAAAGGGCAACAAGAAAGCCTTCTACAATGGATTACATTCTTACTTAAGTGAAGTGATAGCAACAGAGTTCATCATTGGTAATAAGTAGTTTTCAGGCAGTATTCATCTAACTGGGGATGGAAGAAATGCACAGACTAATTAGACTGATTTTTTTTTTTTTGTGCTTTCTGATAAATCACAAATTTATAAGGAATTTTTTTCCTCACTGCTAGTATTAATTTAATTTGTATAACTGAACAAACGGTCAAACTGTAGATGTGGTAAGGGAATTGAATTTAATACTAAGGTTTATTTTGGTCTTCTGCAATTTAAGTAGTGTTTTGGAACTGTATTGCTAATCATAATAGATTCAAAATATTTTTTACTTACTGTGGCTTCTCTTCCATCTGGAAAAAGCTTTCCAGTATGAAGTTACTTAAATCAGTATTTTTATCATTAGAATTAATTTTCGTTCCTTTTTATTATCATACAATCATAGAATGGTTCAGGTTGGAAGGAACCTTAAAGATCATCGAGTCCCAACCCCCCTGCCCTGGGCAGGGACACCTCCCACTACAGCAGGTTGCTCAAAGCCCCATCCAGCCTGGCATTGAACACCTCCAGGGATGGGGCACCCACAGCTTCCCTGGGCAACCTGTTCCAGTGCTTTGCCACCCTCACGGTGAAAAATTTCTTCCTGATATCTAATCTAAAATACTATCTTCGAGTTTGAAGCCATTACCCCTCATCCTATCACCACATGGCCTCATAAAAAGTCCCTCTCCAGCTTCCCTATAGGCCACCTTCAGGTACTGGGAGACTGGTCTCCCCAAAGCCTTTTCTTCTACATGCTGAACAACCCCAACTCTCTCAGCCTGCCTTCATAGAAGAGGTGCTCCAGCCCTCTGATCATCTTTGTGGCCCTCCTCTGGAGTTGTTCTAACAGGTCCATGTCCTTCTTATACTGAGTCCTCCAAAGCTGGATACAGCATTTGACATGGGGTCTCACAAGAGCAGAGTAGAAGGACAGAATCACCTCCCTCAGGTGATTGCTGGCCATGCTTCTTTTGATGTTGCTCAGGATCCAGTTGGCTTTCTGGGCTGCAAGTGCTCATTACTAGCTTATGTTGAGTTTCTCATCCACCAACACCCCTAAATCCTTCTCCTCAGGGCTGCTCTCAATCTATTCTCCGCCCAGCCTGTATCTGGGCTTGGGATTGCCCTGACCCAGGTGCAGGACCTTGCACTTGGCCTGGTTGAACTTCATGAGGTTGGCACTGGCCCACCTCCCAAGCCTGTCCAGGTCCCCCTGGGTGGCATCCCTTCCCTCCAGCATGTCAACCGCACCACACAGCTTGGTGTCGTTGGCAAACTTGCTGAGGGTGCACTCCTCAGGACCATCCCCAGTTAGATGAATACTGCCTGAAAACTACTTATTACCAATGATGAACTCTGTTGCTATCACTTCACTTAGCAATTCATACATTTCAATTAAAGAAAAAAGTTACCTTCCAGACAGATGCATCAAGTGTTGTACCTCAACTGCAAATATATTTTGCTGTGTTTACTTCCAACTCTCCCATGGAAGAAGGAAAGTCTTTAATAAAGGCGGGAATAGGAAAAAAAAACCTAAAACAACTACCCAAAACTATTTTAGTCTTTTAAAAGATGGTCAAATCTGAAAGTTTACCAAATGATGGGAACTATACCAGTGTAAATGAAAATGAAAAAATGAAAATATACCAGTGTAAATGAAAATGGGGAAGAAAACCAAAAAGAACACAATATAAAGAATAAATAAAAATTTAAATTATTGTTACAGAATATTTTGCATACTGTTCTATTAATTTGGCAAGTGTTCTTAGTACTGGCGCATCCCTTTTTAGGCTTACATAATTTTTTTAAAAGGCCTATGAAATATTTTAAAATAATTACTAGGAAGAAAAGTGTTTTCAATTTCAGATTAAAGGATAAAAATTATGTATCGTAAGATCTGATATTCTCAAAACTTTACTGTTTTATGAAAAGCACGAGAGAGATTACAGGAACCAAAACAGTATCTAGGATATCACTCTCTCTGCAGAAGTTTTCAAGCTCATATGTCTAGTGTCTTGACCAAGTCAACAAAGCTAAACCTATTACAATCAAGTTTCAGGCTCATGGTCTCATATCAGATTTTTTGTTACAGTCAAATTAAGAACTGTGAATTAATCAAAGGGCAATCACGCACTTCAAAGTTTTTGTAAAATAAACAAGGTATTGTGAAGCTGTTAGTAGCAAATCCATAGTTAAGACTGAACTGAGCTTCTTTAAAAACAATAACATGAGTTTAACACCATTCAAACCCTTCCCACTTCACTGTTCAGAAGACAACTAGAATTTCAATACACAGCTTCCAAAAGAAATGTCTAAGCTTTTTAAATTTTGTGGGTTTTTTTCTGCCACTTGTATAATTTTCACTCCCTGAGAATAAGTCAACAGAGCTATCTGTATTTAGAGCATATAAATCCTGAAAGCACTAAAAAAAGATTCCATCAAAGATCAGGGCATCACCATGCTGGCAGAGTTCAAACAAAGCATTTTCAGCTCTCCCTAAATCAATGACTTTTCACTTTTCAAAGAACATCATACATTCTTGAGAATATCATATTTTCATCCTGACATCTCAGTGTCATTCATAAGTCTCCAATAACTGGATAGTAAATTTACCAAAGCCTGAAACATAAAGTATTTCTGACACACTAAAATATGTGCACTGTGAGTAGTTGAAAGCTGTATTTGAAAAAGAACATGGTGGAGAACTAAGGAATCTGCCAGTACAATGAAGTGTGGACAGCAAGGCATATGAACTGCTATCAGTTGGGGCTGTAAACAGTTCTCTGGTCCCATCAGTTCTGTCTTTCACAGGAAACCCACTTAAGCAACTGCAAGTTAACATGTTTCTTATGTGCCTGAAACAACAAATGCATGAAGACAAAAGGCATCCAATAAGCAACAGAATTCTTACCCCCACTGCAGAATGCGCATGCTTTCTCGAAACTCTATGAGAAAACTTCAATAACAACACTTATCTCAAAATGTTGTTCCCATGCTTTCTCTGTAGAAATATATATATAATCTCCCTTCTTTTATTTTTTTTTTCTTTCTTTCAAACCCCATTGTTCATTTACTCTCAAGATATTCCAGGCTTCCTTAGTATTGTAAATAAACATGCAAACAGCACCTACCAAGCATGTTTACATTAATTCATAATGTCTTGAGATTAGAGATTGAAAAAGGAAATTATGTTCCTCAAATTGAAGACGCTACTGCAGATGATGTTCAACCAGGCCAAGTGCAAGGTCCTGCACCTGGGTCAAGCACAAACACACGATGGGCAGAGAATGGATTCAGAGCAGCCCTGAGGAGGACTTGTGGGTGTTGGTGGATGAGAAGCTCAACATGAGCTGGCAGTGCGTGCTGGCAGCCCAGAAAGCCAACCACATCCTGGGCTGCATCAAGAGAAGTGTGGCCAGCAGGTTGAGGGAGGTGATTCTGCCCCTCTGCTTATGAGTACTGCATGCAGCTCTGGAGCCCGCAACGTAAGAAGGACATTGACCTGTTAGAACAAGTCCAGAGGAGGGCCACAAAGATGATCAGAGAGCTGGAGCACCTCTCCTATGAGGACAGGCTTAAAGAGTTGGGGTTGTTCATCCTGTAGAAGAAAAAGCTCCGGGGAGACCTTACAGCAGCCTTCCAGTACCTAAACGGGGCCTACAGGAAATATGGGGAGGGACTCTTCATGAAGGAGTGTAGTGATAGGACAAGGGGTAATGGTTTTAAACTGGAAGAGGGGAGATTTAGATTAGCTATTAGGAAGAAATTCTTTCCTGTGAGGGTGGTGAGGCACTGGAACAGGTTGCCCAGAGAAGTTGTAGATGCCCCATCCCTGGCAGTGTTCAAGGCCAGGCTGGATGGGGCTTTGAGCAACCTGCTCTAGTGGGAGGTGTCCCTGCCCCTCCCCCACAACAAAACAGTTTTTGTTTTTGTTGGGTGGGGGGGGGGGGGGGGGAAAGTCACTAAAACAGAGTATCTTTCAGCCTTGACTGCATGTTCTTTGACAAAGTAACTATCATTTTGTTAAGTGCCAAGTACAATCACCAGTTAATTTGAAGGTAGGAGGCAATAATCAAAGTAAAAGAAACTTCTCCAAAGAAAGGTATCATCACTGACCTTTGCAAAAGCAACCGCTTGCTGAGGGTAATACATGGAGGCACCAATACCCATGAGACCTGCAGGATACACTAACTTCTTTATTTTCGAGCCTGTTTCATAACACATAAAAAAAACCGCAAACCAAAACATCGTTAGGCTATATGTAAACCAAGATACTACTATAACGGCCCTACTGTTTTACTTATAATCAAAACAATTTTATTAAAGAGTAAAAGCCAGAGTTAAAAGATATTTAAGAGAATTATACCAACTGATACTCTTTTCTAAACTAAAAGGAAAAATTCAGGTAAAGGAAGGTTAGGATAACATTCTTTTGATACATCAAACAGAACAAGAGACATTCCAATGCAAACTTTATAAGTTACCTTGACTCACAAATATTGATTCTTCCACAACTGGTCTTATGAATAATTTTTCTTGATTTACTATAGCAATTTGTAAAGCATTTGAAAGTACTTACGCTATACGCCTATTGCTCGATCCCCAAGTAAATTTTGAACATTTTAATCAATTTGAACTCTCTACTCAATTATACAAGTCTAAAATAATTTAACTGCCTGAAAAGTTCATCCTCTTATCACAGTTGGCCGCAGGTTGTGTATCCTGGCTGGCCAGTGACAATATGTATCACTGAACCCGTTACAGGGCATGCTGCAGTTTATCCAGTCACAAAGGATCAGAGAAGGGAGCAGGTAAAGGAGAAAAGCAAGCAGTACAGGAGAAAAAAAAGGTCATAAACCAGACGTACAGGAGTCAGGACGCAGTAGTTCCGTTCGTCATAGAACAGCCTGTTCTATATGCAAAGCCACATGTGCTTCTAATAAAGGAATAATGAATTTTGAAGAGGAAATGCATATTAGAAGTGTTTAGTGTTTCCACTAACATATGCTCATGATGACATGAGAAACAAGAGACATTCATAAAGTGATGTTGCTAGTCTTGTGAAGAGAGAACTTGGTACCAATTAGCTGTAAGAAGGAACAGAGAAGGCAAGCTTCATTGCATCTTTACAACCAGAAATATTACACTTTGTTGTAATTTCTGGGAATGGGGAAATCTTCCTTAGCGATACCTTATCAAAGTGCCTACAATATCACTTTAGGAATAAAAGTAATAGCTGAAGATATTAATGCCTTCCAGCAGGCTGCTACCTGCTGGAGATACTCATTAGAGGGAAGTTTAGCAATACTCCCGTATCCATTCCAGTAGAATCATAGAATCATGTAGGTTGGAAGAGACCCTTGGGATCATCAAGTCCAACCATCTACCCTACTCTACAAAGTCATCCCTACACCATGTCCCTCAGCACTGCATCCAAACGGCCCTTAAACACAGCCAGGGATGGTGACTCCACCCCCTCCCTGGGCAGCCTGTTCCAATGCCCGACCACTCTTTCTGTGAAAAATTCCTTCCTAATGTTCAGTCTAAACCTACCCTGTTGGAGCTTGAAGCCGTTCCCTCTCGTTCTGTCACTAATTACCTGTGAGAAGAGACCAGCACCAACCTCTCTACAGTGTCCTTTCAAGTAGTTGTAGAGAGTGATGAGGTCTCCCCTCAGCCTCCTCTTCCTCATACTAAACAGCCCCAACTCCTCATACGCTCCTCATACGATTTGTTTTCCAGCCCCCTCACCAGCTTCGTTGCCCTCCTCTGCACTCGCTCCAGCACCTCGATATCTCTCTTGTATTGAGGTGCCCAAAACTGGACACAATACTCGAGGTGTGGCCTCACCAGTGCCGAGTACAGGGGCACAATCACCTCCCTACTTCTGCTGGTCACACTATTTTTGATACAAGCCAGAATGCCATTGGCTTTCTTGGCCACACTGCCGGCTCATATTCAGGTCACAGCAAATTATCTTCAATAGCATTTTAAACCAAGCTGGATGACTGTACAATATTCACATGATTAAACTCTGAATACCGTACTTTCTACTTAGTGAGCAGCTGTATCTTCAAGTGTTAATGGTTAGACTGGAAGATTTTATTTGTACCTTCCAAGAGGGCAATATTTTGCAGTGACACCAAGGAGGAAGGGTTAAAAAAAGGGGAAATTTTATTCTAACTCTCTGTAGCATCAAAATTAAGGGGCACTTCCTTCTACAGTTTGAATACTGACTGTTATTTCCAGAAAGTGTTGTAAACTATAACCAGACAAGAAGTTTAAAAATTATGGCTCCAATCCTAAAACATTCACAAATCAGACTTTCATATTATGAGGTAGTTTTATTGCATGTAGGACCCTCTAATCTTTTAGACCCAGCCACAAGGCTCCACACCCCACCCCAAATTCTGCTAACAGTTGTCAAGGCTGGAAACTGATCTCATACATCATCACATAAATCAATAAGCAGGAATTTGAATAGAAAGAACTTCAAATGGGTGAAGTTTGAGACCTTGATTTTCATTTTTAAAAATATACTAGGAGAAAAAAAAAAACAAACAACCTGCTTTCATCATCTTCCCTGGAAAATTAAATATTTTGAGGAATGCACATATAAGTGCATATATTCACAGGATGCTTGCCATTTCTACGTAGCCAAGCATACATATTCAGTTTGTTCAACACATACAGGCCCCACAAACTTGTATTTTTATCCAAAGCAAGTCCTTACTAGTAATTAAATGCTAGAACTTTTACAGTTCCGTTACCTACAAGTTTTGTTCTTGTGTTACTTCATTTCACTATATTAAGAAGCATAGAATCATCTAGGTTGGAAGGGAACTTTAGGATCATCTAGTCCAACCATCAACCTAACTCTGATAAAAAAACAAAAGAAAACCATACAACCTCCTCCCCCCCCATTACTAAACTATGTCTCTAAGCTCTATGCCAACCCGTCTTTTCTAAACCTCCAGGGATGGTGCCTCAACCACTTCCTTTGGAATACTCACTATCTCAATACAAACACAAAATATTTTAAGAAATGTTAATTGTGATAAAGTCTCATTTATTTTTGTTTAATGGGGCTTTGAGCAACCTGGCCTAGTGGGAGGTGTCCCTGCCCATGGCAGGGGGGTTGGAACCCGGTGATCTTTAAGGTCCCCTCCAACCTAAACAATTCTATCATTTCTATGAAGGCATAAACATATTAGTTCCTCCAATCAGTGTGATGAAATTACTATATCACATTTCTATAGCACAAAATGTGCATGTATTTATAGCATACCCAGAGTTCACAAGTACTTTTGCTGAGTATCACCATCTACAGCACATCTGTGCCTCGACACGTAATACTTTGAAGGAACTTCAATAACCATCTAATTGTACATGCATCATATTTCAGGAACCTCTGAGTTTTACTGGGATTTATTCCTCTGTAGTTTTTTACAGTGGCATATATGATCAAGAACTTAAGTAATTAAGAAGATTTTCAGGCTTTAAAAAACCCTTTCCTACTTTTGCTATAAGCTAGAAACGGAAAAGATCAAAAGACTAGATTCCAGTAACAAATACAGTATTAAGAAAAACTGATGGTTATTATACACCTTTTACATGAAGTTTCTGTGTGATTGGAGGAACACTGTAGAATCTTGCTTGTACAGTTAGATCTCACGTGTTACAATTAACAAATAGTACTCAAAAACCCCACAAATAAATTGTTTATCCCAAATGATAACATAAGCAGTTCAAAAGGTTCCCGCTTACCTCGAGCAAGAAACAATCCAACAATTCCTGCAAAACCTATCACACCAAGCCTTGGATAAAACCCAGCAGGGGGGTTTTGGAGAAATTCAAAGCCCTCTGAAAAGAAGTCAGAACAAAGTGCTTTAATGTAATGTGAAAGTGTTTTTGTGATAAGGAATCATCAATACGTGCTGGCAATTGTTAGAAAACAAAGAGTTATCACAACACATTTAACTATCATGCACATTTTAGATCTGCTGGCATAAAATTCAAAGCCTTTGAGATCTTCTCTAGTGACACATGAATGAAACTGAACATCGTATTGTATTTACCAATTTTCATAGAAGCTTTTGCCTTTGCTCCTGGGCCATCTGTTTTGTTTTGCTTTTCTGCATCTCCATTATATCTTTTTGAAGATTAGTGATAAAAACCTTTGCAAAAAGGATTCTTACATTTACACATTAACAAGAATTAGTTTCAGAAAAACACCGTACAAAATACAAATCACAGAACAAAGGAAAGACACAGCATAAACAAAGCTCAGTCCAAGATGGGAGTCCAATGGGGGAATGGAAAACTATGAAAAAACCTTTCATGCAAAGAGTTCAGAAGATTGAGACCGTTAAGTTCAAGGAAAAGAGGCGCACTATCTGAAATGCATGCTCAGTCCTGATGAGCCCAAGTATGAAAGGATGCTTCCAAACCCAAAAATAAATACAAATTATTTTGGATTAATTCAAAATTCTTCAGAGATCCAAGGAATAAAACCAAAATTAAAAGGTTAAACATTACAAACAAAAGGCCTACACTTGCGATAAGTAACAAACATTGCAGCAAGTTTCAGTTACTAGGGTGGGTCAAGGGAATAAATTGTGAGGTTTTTTTTCCTTCTTTTCCTGCATAACTGTCTTTTTTAGTGACATTGGTGGACACAGATGCAGGTCTCAGATTTTAATTATTTAGAAATGTAGTGTCACAATGACCTACAAAGGAAATTTAAACAGATATACAGTGCAAATGAAGTAGTCTTAAATGCATTAGACATTATATATATATTGATGCTTAGGGGAATTCCCTTTTAACAGAAAATATAGTACATTTCTGCATTTTAAATTGCTAGTTAAGAAAACTAAACTGATTTACCTCTACCATGCTCAACAGCTTTTTCTAATTTGGGCATAGCTTTGGCATAAAGATCCTAAAAAAAAAAAAAAAGAAAACAACAGTAAATAGATACCAAATAAGTAAAATTTAAACTACAGACTGTAACTGATCTAATGAAGGAAAAAAAAGGGAAGAAAAAAAAAGAGTTGGGTCCCTAAAATAACTTCTTTTTATTCCCACTTCCATGTTCACTTACAGAGCTATGCTTGCTCAGTATTACATCTGGCATAACCTACAGCTTTTTCTCAAAGTAGTCTCTGGACACACATGAAATATAATACCTCAGAACACAGAAGTCAACTTTAATATACCACTGAGTTCCTGATCAAGTACCCGAAACCCAGGATTATCTCAGGTTTCTCAGTGTATGTAGGTGTCACAGAAACACTTGAGTTGATGCAAAGAAAGGAAGTGCATCACTGCAACAGCCTCCTTCCCAGCACTTCACAAGGGTACAAGAAGAGACTATCTTAGACTAACGTTCTGTTAGCATTTTGAAGTGACCTGGAAAATGAGATGTCCATACAGTGTCTGAAGTAAATCAAAGAGCACTGCACCAACACCACAAACTAGCTCTAGATTTTCTTCCCAAACTGAAAATATGCAGGAAGTAAAAGAATTCACACTGCCTTTTGTCAAAGTAGGAAAAAAAAAATCTCAGTAAGAGCAACCCTGCTAATTGTTATTATGCTAATAATCCTTCGGAGAGACAGTGTAAAACTGCCTATCAATTAGGGAACAAATTCATAACCTTGTACGCCCAAAGCTAAAGCAGAGTATGGTTTGCAATCTCACTTGAGCTGAACCTGTGCAGAAGTGAAAGCATTTGCTTAGGATAGTGCATGGGGGATAGTATCTTTAGAACTTTCATTTCCTCACTGTGACTTAAAAAAATAACTTGTCATGAAAAAGAGTTAGCACAGGACACACAACATACCCCTAAATGGATGTTGGACTTATGAAAAGCCAATGAAAAAAGAACATGCTGTAAAGACCCCAGAGGCTAAGTCTGATCTTCTCTCACAGCTCACACATAACTGGTTCATTTCTACATCTGTGTTTTGAACTCTTTCCACTGCAGTTTAAGCAAGCAATTTTGAAAAAGAAAAATGGATATACAAACATAACCAATTTTATTTTCAGTATCCTGAGTTCTGTTTTTAATTCCGGAGACAACTGAGACATGCCTAAAATGTTATTTTCCTTAACCTAGCAGGGGGTGGTGGTGGTGCAAACCCCAAACTATCCCTGACTACAGTTAAGCAAGCAAGATGACCCCAAATCCATAAAGCTGACATGCCCGCTTCATAAAATGAGTCAGTAAACCACTGCCAGGAAATGGCTTGCTGTGTGCAAGCAGAAAAGCACATCTTATGTAAATGATCACCACGCAGACAAAAAATAAAGCAAATAGGAAGACAACAGGCCAGGGAGACATAAAGCACTGTTCAAGGCTTACCTGCAGTGAGTCCTACTGGGCAACTAACCTTGTCTCAAATTTCATTGTCGGTTATGGTTACCGCAGGCAACCAAGCAGAACCCATGCATTTAGGAGGTCAGAGCTCTAACTATACTGTGGAAAATCATCCCCCTTTCTCCTTCAAAACTGAGGTCAGTGTAGTCCTCAGAAACACATCACTTGACTGAGCAACCTGAGTATTTCTGAAAAATTGTTTCGGTACTGTTAAAGGTCAGTACCACAACACAGAACTTCTAGGCAGAAAGGACACGCTGATCTGAATAGCTTGGCTTTCTATGGAGAACTGGAAAACCAGCTTGCAGCTTAAGAAGGGGATTCAAAACAGCCAGAGTGCAAAGCAGACAGTCACCCAAAGTGGCAAAGAGGCAACTAGATGACAAGGATGCCCTTGCTTCAAAAGAAAAACACCATATGACTCTGCAATCTAATATCAATCATTTAGGCCTCGATTACATAGATCTTGTTTTTCCCCTATGCTCCAAAGACTCTTTTTGTATTTAGTGACTGTTTAGTACAAACATGCTACCTAATAAAATATCAAAGTTTTTGGGTAAGCTCTAGGGGCCAGGTTTGCCACTGAGAAGTCGCCTGGGATTTTCTCTCTTCTGGAGAGCCATGCTCTTCCCTCAACATTCCAGTTCAGCCAATACCGATTTATTTTCTGCAGTGTTGTGTTGTGCCACAGTTGCAGTGAGGAGAACTTGGTTTGGCTGCTCCAAAACACACTGTTTGATAATTTATGGTGCACTCCTTGAGCATGGAAACTGCAAATTTAATCACTCTCCTGTCTTCTTCAGTCACAGGACAATACCAAATCCAGATATCCCTAGATATCTCTAACCTTGAAGATTATTTCAGATAACAATTCTAAGCTTTAGTTAATTTCTTTTTTATTCTTTTGGATGGATAAAAAGCGTGGAAAGGGAGAGGGTTAGTTCAGCAAATCAGTAAAAAGAAACAACTGGTTTTGTATCAGGAGGGGGTAAATACTATATTTTGGACTGTGGAAAAGTTTAAGTCATACAGCATTTTTGAAAAATGCTTGTACAACTACTAACTTTCACTTTGCTGCTACCTATTAATTCTGTGTTTAAAAACAAAATCCCAGTTCAACCCTTAGCACTGAACCACTACTGGATGGGATGTAAAACCATTATACCTGACACCAGGCTGTGTATGGCTCCATAACATGCCGTAAATGTGAAACCCCTTCTTCCAATTGACTTTGTGGATCCTCCACATACTTAGTCTCACGAACTGGAGAGGAGTAGAGCGACAGCTGCAAATATTAGCAAACAAGAGGTTAAAAACAAAGGTGTAATTCTGTACCTAGGTCTTCAGGGCATGAACAGTCTAACCAGAGAACACTTAACACTGTGCTTACTACATAAACAATGCACAATAAAAACTCACACAGTTGTGAGACAGCCATTATTAGCAAAGTTTAATTATATACTATGATGAAGATGACTTCTAATCGCTATGCAATTCATCCATAGCTGCTATATGATCCAAGTCACAGGTTATAAATTAATATTAAACTAGTTTAATAAGAACACAAAATATCATTGTGAAAAATGTTTCTGGTCTTCATCAGCACTTCTGGTTCCCAGTTAACATACTAAATGTACTAGAACTCTGAAATCACAATCAATCATTTTCTATATTTGTACAAACCATCATTAAAGACTCTAAGTAGCTTCTAACAAAGGTAATATCCAATACAAATTTGTGTGTTTGTTACTGTGCAGGAAAAGAGTATGACATACCAACATTGCCATCATTAACCACACCAGCAACTGACAGCATTAATAGTGCCACGGGGCTGAGCAAATAGGAACTGTAACAACCACCCGAAGAGCAATGGGCATCTTCATATAATAAATATTAAACCACTGTATTTAGGGTTTAGCATCACAACATATTTATTTACAATTACCTAAATACATTTAAAATTGTATTCCATGAAGAAAAAAAGAGATGAGCAAAGTCGATATTGTTGAAGACAAACAGCAAAGTTTAGATCAAACCAAAAGCTAGCAGTTTATGCACCACACTGATGTTCAGTATAAAGAGTTTATATTTTATATCACTTTATACTACTTTTAGTAGTTTATTATAAAGTGACATTTACACATATTGTTGAGTCAAAGTATAGCTAGCCCACTTTTCAAGATAAGTTGGAAAACAACTGTATTTCTATCATAATAAAAAAAAAAACCCTGCTAACCATAACAGTATATATAATGACAGAATTTGTCAAATTATTCTATAACTTGCACAGCTGGATTTCCCATAATACTTTGACAGGCAAGGACTTTAAGTCTCATTTCCCTAGGAAATCCGGTCATCTCTGGCAATCACAGTCAAAATCGGTTTAATTTTGATCCTGTTAGGCAACCTAACAGCCACGTCTGGCACAAGGACAAAAGACTCAGAGATAAGGAAATTCTCCTACGTTGTATGAAACTGGACAGCTGACAGTAGAGATCCAAACTAACATAGACTGTGAATGGTAAGAAAGGCAGCCAAAACTCCACGGCTTGCACACTGCGCTTGGCTGGAGCTGATGGGGAAGCCAATTACTCAGCACGTATGTAACTTCAAACTGCTGCCCCATCACTGACTCATGCCAGCAGCAGCACAGGGCACGTGACAGCCCAAGCCAAGGTGACTTCACTGGGGTGAAGCCAGGAGACTGCTTCAACTACAGATCCTCACCTACCGTGCCGGTGAACTGCCTACGCAGACAACATCCAAAAGACCTAAGCGTTACGCAAAAGTAAGTTTCATTTAGTTTCACTGCTCCTGTAGCAACACTTTCACTGAGGTTGAAGTACTTAAAATTTTTAAACACCTACAAACTGTCATGGCTATGAAGCTGTATTTAGTCATGAACTACAATTTACTTTTTTCTTTTAATGTTGGAGATTGCTAAAATCCTATGCGACAATGCTGGCCAGTCTGCAGTTTGACAGGGAGTTTTAAAGCTCTACTTGTGACATTACCAAGACATCTGTAATATCTTAGAGAAACAATAAAGTTACAGGTTTTTATTATCACTACTTCTTGTATTTGTTGTTGCTTAGGTCTGAATGCTGTAAAGAAAGGAAAACTGATAAAATTCTGCAGGCTACCATATCAGATTCAAAGCATTGCCAGACAAGAATTTTGCCTGTAAAAAAAAAAGAATATTTTTAGAAATAAAAAAATTTTATTTGCTATTTTATTGGAAAACATAAACGAAATTTTAATAGAATTTGCCAACAGTACTTGTTAAAAAAAACACAGGGCGTTACCTGGATAAAAAGCAGGGAAAATACTTCTTGTGATTTGAAACATGACCACAAGTAAATCTACAAACATGAAAAGGTAATTTCTGAATGCAAAAGAGAAGGCTTTAATGTAATAAAAAGATCGTGCACACAAGCAAGTCTGACACTGTTAAGTGCAACCCTCAGGTAAAAGAAGCAAAACCGTGTTGACATCTCTACTACTAAAAACAGAGAAGCAAGTTTAAAGGCAAGAATACACCAGGTGAAGAGATATACATATCTCTGCATTTTCATGCATCAAAATATAACGTCTTTCACAATTTTGTAGATACTTCCATATAGATAGAAGAGCACTAGGGCTCTAACCATACTTACTTCCTCAATTTTCAGCAACTCCTTTTTGGAAGTCTCCTTCTCTGATGAGGATGCATAAACCTGGATAGAGAGCAAGCTCAGGCTAACAGGGGTGGCCCCCAGCCGAATTACCTAGAAACATTATAGGAAGAGCTGTAAGTCATTAAGTTCAAAGTGGCACATCAATGTGGAAAATGTTTATGTTTCCCTGTATGTTAATAAATGATATATTAAGATGCTTAGAAGGCAGGAGAATGGGGAGTCAGTGGTATACAATCTAATGCTCTCAGGCACTCAAATGATAACACTTAAATTATTCAGATGGCATTTAGAAAAGCCTAAGATTAAAGGAGACAGTAGATATAAATGTTAATCTCATCGGTTTTCATCTCACAAAAAGATCTTCTGTTTTCTTTCACTTGAAACATAATTTTTGTCAACTTTCTTAGTACAGATATTAACATTATATTCATATTTTAAACTTTGTGAATGTCCATAGCACTTCAGTTTTTCCGCAGTTATTACCAAAAAGTTCAGCATTTTGTTTCTAGTTATTGTCTGCATCTAGATGTAAGGGGAAAAAAAAGAGAGACCTACAGTTGAAAGTATCAGAATGTAATCACTGCTTTCTAAGAATTTTAGGAATGTCTCCTACTTTTCTGTGAGAAACACGAATTATAGTGCATCGTGACAAATACTTGACTGATTTTGAGTACTTCATATTCAATCCAGTCACACAACACAACCACCATGAGTAAGGTGAATATAATTCTTCCTATATTCAGGACCTACACTAAATCGTATTTCTTAACAGGAGATACTGCTTTAACTTAAAAAACAGAAGATAAAAATCTTAGCTGTGCAGCGAATCAAGAATGCACAGAAAGCATTTTCCAGCAAACGTACATCCTTGTGAACAGCAACGTTTCACTCAAGAAATGGCAGCTCCAATGGGAAACCTTTCAGTGTCTCATATTCATGTTGCAAACGTGCAGAGTTACAACAGCCCGTGGTTTGTTCTATCAGGTTACAGCGTGAGCAAATCTAACAGCCTGTGGCCACCAAACTGGAGTGGTCTGGCTCTGCTCGTGGCATCCGTTCCCAGAAGTCCTGGTGCTCACCTTGCCCTAGCTTTGGTGGCCAGACGCTTCCACCGCGAGACAATTCACCTCACCAGTTTGGCAAGAGATTAATTCCTGAAAAAGAAGCGGAGAGCTTGGGGCTGGGGATGGAGATGGTGTTAGTAAATTGATCCCATCCGTGAAACAGTCCAACAAGCACCAGAGGAACTGTGTGTGGCCAGGGAAGAGGGGGTGAAAGAGGAGAAGGCAGCAAGCCCTCTTCCTTTTCAGAAATAGTAAGGGTACATTACAGTGACCTAGCTGCTTGTGAAACTGAAGCCTTGGTCAAACCAACGCATCCTTCATGCTGTTGTGATGATAACTGACCCAGCATCAGGAACAATTACTCTGAAACTTTGCTTCTGCCCATTGCAGAACTGTTAGAAAATAGCTTTAAAATTATCCAGGTTACATGCTTATTGCAGACAGATCAGTATTTGCAGCTGAAATTTCTTCCACTGCTTTTCAGGTGGAATTTTTATTAAATGTAACCAAGAGAATCTTCAAACTCAAAACTAGACTATATAGTTGTCAAATTTCCTGAAAATGTTCATTTACATGTAAAGAAACAGCACACAAGAACTAGGTCATAGGATTTATTTTCGGAAAGATATGAGGGATCTGATGAATCAAAAGGTATGGAAAAACTTGTTCAAAATGGAAGTTTTTCCTTATTTGTGTCTATGGACTCGTTATTACAGCACTATAATGAAACACCACAATGACCAGATCAGCTGTTGACCAACCAAGGAAAGACATGAACAATCTTTAATAAAGTTTGCTTAAACAAAGACTTTTCACATACTTTCATTATCCGAGATAAAAATGTGAATGGCACTAACCATTAATAACTGTAGAATATATTTCCTCATTCTTTCCTTTTTTTCGCTGCAAAACTGTTCTGTCACTGAAAAGGCAAAAATCTGAAATGCACTTTCATTCTGAAAAATATGCTTTCAGTAAAATATTACCTCCTGTGATCTTTGAAACATTTAAGAGTGAAACACACCGCCAGAAAAGACATCAAGACATTCATGGCTCCATTCACTTTCCTCAAAACAGTTTCAAATTTATTTAAACTACAGCTACCAGTTACCTGAACAGCCATATGCAGTATAAATATTTCATGGGAGCCTAAATTTCAAACAGGTTTAAAACCACAGATAACTTTGGTAGGGCAACTACTAAATCGATGGCACATACTACACTCAGAAGAGGTTAGCAGCAGAGGTGGCTTTTGAAATAAGCCTTGAAAAACACAATTTCGGAGAGCGCCACTCAGAGACAAGCATCTAAAACTAAAGTTTTGAATATGGCAAAAGTTTGTTACATGAATACACATACAGAGTTTTTAAAACTCCTGCTTAACATTTCTAAAAAAAACCCAACAACAACAACAAAAACACAACAGCAACATAAAAAATTAAAGTACAACGACAACTTCTGTTTAGGAAAAATAAATCTATTCTGCTGTGTTAAACAACAGAGTTGGTTTTTGCTGCTACTCAACACCATTTATATTGTTTGAAAACTATCTGAATGTCACCAGCAGAAACAGTAAATCCAAATGCTTTAAATATTTGAGATTTGTATAAAGACGCACACAGACAGCAGAGTATAAGAATGGAACCACCTTGGCCAGCAGGTCAAGGGAGGTCATCCTGCCCCTCTACTCTGCCCTGGCGAGGCCACATCTGGAGTCCTGTCCAGTTCTGGGCTCCTTAGTTCAAGAAAGACAAAGAACTACTGGAAAGAGTCCAGCAGAGGGCTACAAAGATGCTCAAGGGAATGGAGCACCTCTCTCACGAATAAAGACTAAGAGACCTGGGTCTGTTTAGCCTGGAGAAAAGAAGACTGAGAGGGGACCTCATCAATGCCTATAAATATCTAAAGGGTGGGTGTCAAGAGGATGGGGTAAGGCTCTTATCAGTGGTGCCTGGTGATAGGTCAAGGAGCAATGGACACAAGCTGGAACACAGGAAGTTCCATCTCAACATGCGTGAAAACTTTATTTTGAGGGTGACAGAGCACTGGAACAGGCTGCCCAGAGAGGCTGTGGAGTCTCCTTCTCCAGAGATATTCAAAACCTGTCTTGATGTGTTCCTGTCCAGCCTGCTCTAGGCAGGGGCATTGGACTACATGATCTCTGAAGGTCCCTTCCAACCCTGTAATCCTCTGATCCTCCGATTGGTTTCACAAACAAGTATCAGTGATGACAGAACTACTCATACTGAAAATACCATATTACCCAAACACTTAAGTGCAGACATTTTCCAAAGGTTTCATATTTACATTTTAAACAAAACAAAATTAACCAGTAAAAGTGCAAAAAGAATTGCTCCTTAAATGTACTGTTCAAGCTATACTGCAGTGGTCTTCTACATCAACTAAGTTCATGGGACAGATACAACCATTACTAAAGTATCATATACGCACACACACATAAACACAAAAGGGTTACTTAGCAGCATGAAAGAAAACGTTCTTTCTGTTTCCAAAATTCACTTTAGGATCTCATTTCTTAATTTCATATTAACCACGTAAACACTTTGATTGAGCTGTGCCTTCAGTCTGCCTGTCTTAAAGCTATTCAGTTGATACCAAAAAAGCAGAGCTGACATTCTTCCCTCTCAGCAACACTCTGCATTTACTTGAAGTAAAAAATGATATTAAGCTTATTCCTTTCTCTAGCTGAAGAGCTCAACTTTATCTGTAGACAGCAGATTACTCATAAGCAAATTCCATCTGAAAGTTGCAGGGAGAAAGACATTTCATCTTCCATTGTCTTGCTTTACTGTCTTTCTCAAAGTTCTTAACTAAAAAATGCCTCTGGGAATAATAAATTCCACATTAGTTTTTAAACAAATGGGGGGATCGGGGAGAAGAGCTAAAGATTAACTAAACTTTAGTCTTTTTTTCCCCTTATCTATGGTTTCTCAGTTCCCTTGTTACTGTCAGCCTGTCAAAACTGGGGAAAGGAAGAATAAAAGGGAAAAAACCCGTAATCATACTTTTGTGAAGGCTGATATTCTCCCTAATGTATGAAGCTACTCATTTTTCTCTTCTTTTTACATTCTTCCCCCTACCTCTCAACCTCATCTGAAAAAAAAACAAAACTAACCAAAACCAGAACGAACCCTCAAGCACTCCTGTTCCCTGAAGCACAAATATCAAGGACAAGAAGTTACCTTCCCTTTTTGCTCTTAGGGGCAAAAAAAAAATAAGTTGGCCTGAAGCACTGGAATCTGACTAACCTCAGTGGCTGTATAAAAGTAGTGATATTATGTGTAGTACAATAAGTTGGCCTGAAACAATGGAATTTGCCTAACCTCAGTGGTTGTATAAAAGTAGTGATATTATGTGTAGTACCTCAAACCACGAGTTCACATATAACCCCCCCTAATGACAATTCTGTATCACTCCCAGAATTTCAATGACTCTTGAGATAAAATCCTTACATAAGAATTTCAGCAATTGCCCCAACATTGAAATACAGAAAAAAAAATATGAAGTTGTGACAAGAGTAAAGCAAGCATAGGCTGCTCAGCATAACAATACATATCAATATATTGATATGTTATCAATACCAGACAAACAAATAAGGTATAAAACGAGAATGAATATGAAAAATCAAGTTTCATCAGGTTTTAAAAAAACCCCAGCATGAGTAGTCATGACAATTTGATTGAAACATACAACTTGCTTTTAGCCTGAAGGGATACGGGGCTCTTATCAGAGGCAAAGACCTTTAAGCCAATTAACCGATTTAAGCCCAGATCACGAAGGTTCCCTCCTTTTCACAGATTTCACTGACAACCTACAGGCAGTAAGGGGAGAGTTCCGAGACAAGGACAGTCTCAACCGTACAACCTCTGTAAGAGCACTCACTCCCAGCTCCACGCTGCTGTATCTAAGAAGCACCTTTAAATAACGCACGTGGTGTTTGTGTGGGTTTCTTTATGCAACACGGATAGGGCGCGTAGTTTTGAAATATTAAAAAGAGAGATTACGCAGCTGCAACAAAACTAAAAGCTTGTGAGGTATCTCACAAGATGGGTCTAAGATGATTTCTAGAGGTCCCTTCCAACTCTGACAATGCCGTCATATGCCCCGGGTACAGCTGCCACCAGATAGACAGATTTTAGAAGAGTGTTGACTCGAACGGAAGAAAAAAAAAATCATTCGCTGGTAACAACACCAGGGTTACTCAACCGAGTAACTAAAACTGGCTTTAAAAGGGGAAAGCGGGAGAAACGGGGCCCTTCCCGGCCCCGGGCACCCGCCTGCAGGCCGCCTCAGCGCCGGGCCCCTCCGGCCGCGCTCCGGGGCCGCCCCCTGCCGGCCTCTCCGGACACGGGCACATCTCAGGATCGAACCCCCGGCGGCACCGCGGCCCCCCCGCCGCCTCAGCGGGAGCGGAGGGCCGCCGAAGGGCCGGGCCGGACGGGCGGGCGGGGATGAGGGGGGTGAAACAGCAACGGCAGAGATTGCCTCACCTTCAACATGGCGGCGCCGGGCGGGCGGGAAGCGGCGGCGGCGGCGCTGCGCTCTGACGTCAGCAAGGCCAGCCCGCCGGGGGAGGCGGGACCGCTGGTAACCTGGCAACGCGAGGGGGCGGGGCCTCCCAGCGAAGCCACGCCCCCTGCCCCCCCAGCAGCGGGATAACTCACCGAATACACCCCGAATTTTGGCACTAAAACCCCCAAGAAAATAACATGGATCCTCCTTTTATAGAGATTTCTCGGGTCGTGCCCCCTACCCTCCCCGCCCCCCGCAAGATCGCAGTGATTTCAAATGGTTTATACTGCTTTTAGCGCAGGAGGAACAGCACAGCATTCCCCGGGGGGGGGGGAAATTCCCATCGAAAAGAGTTTTTTTGCATAAAAAGCGTTTGAAAAAAGCAGCAGCGAGTCCTGCCGCGGGCAGGGGAGCGTGGGAAGGCAGGGGAGGTGCGCACCCTCTTATAACGTTACATTTTCTTTGAGACAACTCTTCCTCGCTGAAGAGGGAATCTTCAAATCTGTAATAAAATCTCATTATCCTCTGTCATCCTGTGGTTTGGCAAAGGTCATTGTGTTGTTCCCTCTTAAGAGAAAATTCCTCCATTTCTTTATTGCTGCCTCTTTACAGCCCCAATAGAACCAGCTATAGGAGGAACAGCGATTTTCCAGACTAGTGGGGATGTAGAACTGGGTGATGCTGCCCAAGAAGCCGCCTGGAAAATTAGCAGACAGTCCTTGTTGGCCCGCTGGATTATTTTCAATTTGAGGGGAAATAAAACTTCAGGTTTGTGCCTTTTCTTTTTATGCCTTTTCTTTTTAAAGCTTGATTGTGATTTTTTTTTTTAGCTGTGTTTCACAGGCAGCAGCTGATGCTTGTGAGTGAGCGAGGGGGATGTCAGAAATAGCAAACAGTACCGGATGAGCTTCAGTACCCGAACCACAGGATGACAGAGGATAATGAGATTTTATTACAGATTTGGCTATGAAAATTCCCTCTTCAGCGAGGAAGAGTTGTATCTAAAGCGTAAGTAAGGAAGGCCAATTGAATCCTGGGCTGCATAGGAAAGAGTGTGGCCAGCAGGTCAAGGGAGGTCATTCTCCCTCTCTACTCTGCACTGGTGAGGCCACAACTGGAATACTGTGTCCAGTTCTGGGCCCCCCAGTTCAAGAGGGACAGGGAACTGCTGGAAAGAGTCCAGTGTAGGTCTACAAAGATGATTCAAGGACTGGAGCATCTCCTTTATGAGGAGCGGCTGAAAGAGCTGGGACTCTTTAGTCTGGAGAAGAGAAGGCTGAGGGGAGACCTTATTAGTGCCTACAAGTATCTCAAGGGCGGGCTGAGGGAGGAGGGAACCCGACTCTTTTCAGTAGTTACCAGTGAGAGGACAGGGGGCAATGGGCACAAGTTGGAACAGAAAGGGTTCCACTTGAATATGAGGAAAAACTTTTTCACGGTGAGGGTGACGGAGCCCTGGAACAGGCTGCCCAGGGAGGTTGTGGAGTCCCCTTCTTTGGAGATTTTCAACTCCTGCCTGATCAAGATGATTAAGGGATTGGAGCATCTCCTTTATGAGGAGAGGCTGAGAGAGCTGGGACTCTTTAGCCTGGAGAAGAGAAGGCTGAGGGGAGACCTTATTAATGCCTGGATGCAGTCCTGAGTAACATGATCTGACACGCTCTGGGTGGTCCTGCTTTAGCAGGGCAGTTGGACTAGATGATCTCTATGGTCCCTTCCAACTCTAAAAATTCAGTGAAATTCAGTGAAAGGCAGCATTCAGCAGCTCTCCAGCTTCTCTACATCCCCTTTCACCATGGCACCTGTCTCATTCAACAGCGGGCCCACGTTTTCTCTCGTTTTCCTTTTGCTTCCACTACACCTGAAGAAACCTTTCCTGTTGCCCTTGACGCCCCTTGCCAGGTTGAATTCCAAGGAGGCCTTGGCTTCCCTCGTCTCATCCCTGCCTACTCTGACAGCGTTCTGGTAATCTTCCCAAGTTCCTTCTTCCACGCATTCTAAACTTCCTTCTTCCACCTGAGCTTTTTCAGAAGCTCTCTGCTCAACCCTGCAGGTCTCCTGCTTTCTTTTGCCTGATTTCTTGCTCTTTGCGATGCACGCATCCTGAGCTTGGAGAAGGTGACAGGGGAATATCGACCAGCTCTCTGGAGCGCCCCTACCTTCCAGAGCCCTAACCCATGGGATTTCTCCAAGCAGTTTCTGGAAGAGGTCAAAGTGAGCCCTCCTGAAGTCCAAGGTTGCAATCCTACTTGCTCTTTTGCACATACTACCCACAATCCTGAACTCTGTCTTTTCATGATCACCACAGACGAGGCTGCCCCCAACCTTAATGTCCTCTACCAATACCTCCTCTGTCTCTCAGAACTCGGTGCAGTAGCACACCTCTCCTTGTTGGCTCCTCCACCACCTGAGTCAAAAAGTTATCATCGGTACACTGGAGGATCCTCGGGGGCTGTGCATGCCTGGCTGTGTAGGCTTCCCAGCAGATCTCAGGGTGATTGAAGTCCCCCATGAGAACCAAGGCCTGTGACTGCGAGGCTACTTTCAGCTGCCCGTAGGCAGCCTCATCACCTTCCCCATCCTGACTGGGTGGCCTGAAAGAAACGCCCACAACTGTGGGTCATGATCTCTATGCCCAAGATGGCCTGCAACTGTCACATTCCCCACAAGTCCTTCTCTCTTTACAAACAGCAAGTCCAGCGGGGCACCTTCCTCCTTAGTCGGCTCCCTCACCTGCTGTGTCAGGAAGTTACCCTCAGCACACTCCAGGAGCCTCCTAGACTGTTCCCTCTTGGCTGTATTTATTGCCAGCAGACATCTGGTCACCTGAAGACCTCCACGAGGACAAGGGCTAGCCCTCTTGAGACTTCCCCTAGCTGTGTCTAGAATATTTCCTATGCCTCTGCGACCTCGTTGGGTGGTCTGCTACAGACTTCCACCGTGATGTCCGTCTTGTTGGCCCTCCCCATGATTCTTACCCATCAACTCTCAACCCTATCGCCAATAGAATTCTGTTCTAATCTGACATTTCTCCCTTTTGAGCGCATAGGGATTGATCTTTTTTGTCCGCAAAAAGGATTTGGGGATTTCTTTTTCTCAAATCCCTCGGTTTTGCCATAGGGCAGAGCTTGTGGAAGTTGGGAGTGTCATTACTTAGGGCAGTGATTGCCACCAAGGGTATCAAGTGAGGCTTTGCCCATGAAGGAAAGATGGCGTTGCCTCTGAAACACTTCAGATGCCAGCTTGGACAGTCGTGGCCAAATGTCCCTGCTTTGCTGACTCTTGCACAATCACTGCAAGACCTGCAGATCAGCCCTGCAATTGATTCTCTTCTGTTGTGGCTGGCACGTGTGTTTTCCCTTTGGAAAGAACCTCCACCCCTTTTGACATCAAAGAGGGCTCCTGTAATCAAGAGGTTGTTTTGTCGGGAGTGGGAGACGGACCCGGAGTAACGATGTAACCTCAATATGAGTATGATCGTTCTCCCTTTATTCATGTTTTTACCAAGTATATACAGACAGGCAAGCAGAGCACGCGCTAGCGGTAGCTCTATGATTGGCTTAAAATCTCTGTTCACGTGACCAGAGCGCTCA